GGACTACAGTTCCCATTGTCTGCCACAGGTGCTGGGGAAAATAGAGCTCCCCTTATCCACTAACATAGCTACCTGGCAAGGGGGGGAATAGAGCTCCTGGGGATTGCAGTTCCCATATCTACCAGCAAAGGCACAAGTTCCGATTGCCTGCCATTACAGCTCCCATTATCCACAAGGATAGCTTTGGGGGACTACCATTCCCATTATCTGCCTGCACAGCTGCGGGGGGAACCTACAGTTCCCATTATCCACCAGCACAGCTGTCAGAGGGACTACAGTTTCCATTGTCTGCCACAGGTGCTGTGGAAAATAGAGCTCCCATTATCCACTAACACAGCTACCTGGTACTACAGTTCCCATTATCCACCAGCACAGTTGCTGAGTGAGAACTGCAATTCCCATTATCCACCTTCAACACTGACTGGGAGGATGCTGGGGGCTGAAGTCCAGAAAAGGCATCATCACTGTCTATTTAGCAATTTTATCATTTACTTCTTTCTTTCTTTCTTTCTTTCTTTCTTTCTTTCTTTCTTTCTTTCTTCTTCTTATTACTAATTTATTTATTTTTTAGGCAGCAGCCTCATGATGACAGTCATCACCATTTATTATGTAATTTATTTATTAGCTTATTAAAGTCATCCACTTCATCATCATCATTCCCTCCCAGCATCCTCTCCAGCCAGCTGTGGGAGTTGTAGTCCTCCAAAGGTACTTTTCCAGGCTCCACATAAAGCTCACCATCAACGTCTTTCCTTCAGGCATGGAAAAACAAGTTTGTGGACTTTTCTGCTGCATTATTTGGATGACTTTAGCGCATTGGGAAAGAAAAATCTAGTGAGTTACTAACTCAACAAGTTAATTTAGCGACTTTAATTCCAAGGGCTGCGTGTGATCTATAAATCCTGTTGCTTAGTCTGAACCAGAGTAGATTCAGGTTGATTTTTGGTATCCACAGAGGGGTCTGGAACGGATCCCCACAGATACCAAGCTCGGACTGTGATTTCTTTTTAACCCTTATAAAACGACCATAAATCATTTTCTAAAAGTTTATTCTAAACAAATAATTATCAACAGCCACAGTTATCATTGATAAATTGTTAATAAAGTATTATTGATAAATGGTTAGTAAGATTTGACTAAATAGTTAAGATCTTCCATGAACACCAAGAGAGCAATTGGAAAACAGCAGCACCCCAGCCATACTGTAAAAACAAACAAAACTGAAACAAGCAAAGAACTAATAATAATAATAATAATAATAATAGTCAGGCAAGATTAAAACCCATTTAAAACCCCGAAATCAGAAGACCACTAGGATTTGGAAGGGCATCCAGGAAGGAATTAGACAACATCCTTGTGTCACTGAAGACCAAAGTGTGGATTGTCCATTGCATGGTATTTCCACAGGATTTTTATTTTCTAGAATGTGAATCGACTTTTGTTCAGATAGGCTTTTAAAACAGAAAGTCTTTAAAGGACAGGCTGTGATGTTGCTTTGTTTTCAAGTGTACTGATTTAAGCACTTCTGTCTTTTTTTAACTGTATTTTATTCTTTTAATAAGTAATCTGTTTTAATATTGAAATAATTCTATTTTAATGCATCACTTTTGTACGTTTTTAATTATCCTGCTCTTTTAAATTGTAAACTGCTCTGAGTCCCAGTTTGGGGGAAAAGTAGGATAAAATGATGATGGTGAGGATGAGGATAATAATACATTGGAAATAAATTGGAATTATTATTTGTATTATAAAAGTGGTAATATAAATAATAATTTCCAATTTCTATGTATAAATGTGAGAGATGGACAGCAAAGGAAGCTGAACAGGAAGAAAATCAACTGATTTGAGAATCAACTCATTGTGAAAGCTGGATGGTGAGGAAAGGAGATAGGAGGAGAATCAACTCATTTGAAATGTCTTGCAGATACCCTGGACTGCCAAAAAGACAAATAAATGGGTTTTTCTCCTCTTCTGCCAAACCTTTGGGCTTCAACCCAGTGGGATACTCATGTCCCCCATGCCAAGCCACTGAATAGTCTTCTGAGTGTTACTCTTTTGCCAGTATTTAGGATGGAGAGAGGCTGAAGGATGAATTTGTCTCTGTTTCCTTTTGTTTAGGGAGGCCCTTGGGGAGGATCCTGAAGCAAAGAAGTTGGTGGAGGAAGAGCAGAGCAGGAGCCATAAACAGACTGAGGAGAGCCGACAGGTGGGACTTGCAGGCCAAAAGGATCCATGTGTATCAGACTTTGAACCTCACACTGCCATCTTGGGTTGGCTTTGGTCATACATTGAACAGTTGACCCTCCATATCCACAGATGCTTTATCCACTTCATCCATGGTTTGAAAATATTAATAATGTATACAAATGTCAAAAAAGCAAACCTTGATTTTGTTTTTTGTTTTATTGATTTAATAACATTAAAATGCAAACTAGTCTAAAATAGATCTACAGATTTACTAACATAACAATTCTACATATAAATACAAACAAATAAACACAAAATAATTTGATTATTCTTTGTTTTTCCATTTATTTAAAGTAACTTCCTAATACCCTGAAGTCAAACTGCTTTCTGCAATTTCCATGATTTTCTCTAATCTTTATTATTTCAACAGGTCTCTAAGCCAAAAAGCTTGTAATTGTGTTAATATTAATACTGCTTGTTAAAATTTTAATATATAATCCCTTTACCTATTTACAGTAACCTTCTTATCATTTAGCCAAAGCATTTCCACTGAATATAATATTCATCTTTTCATCTGTTCATAATCTAAATCTTAATTATCTTTCAAAATTTCCTCTATGTATCTCTTATTTTTTTCAAAATTCCTTGACACATTTCCATTCTTCACTTATTTTCTTTCTTGACTTTTC